CACTGTTTAGTTGTAGGTTCTGTTTCCGAGGGTGGCCCTTTATGCCTAACAGGTGTCTACACCCTCGGAGGGGACAGAGGCTTGCCCGTGATGGTACCATGGCTGCTTCTCCGTCTCTTTGCTATCACCTAATCAAGAATATTTGTATTTGAGTGGAGCATCTTGAAAGTATGCTGCCTTAGCAGAAGGAATGAACCCTGGATGCTCACGTGAGGGCTGGAGGGAGCTGGTGTGAATCACATTTTCAATCTACCCATAAGGCACTAGGGCTTCCCTGCTGGCTCAGTTGTGTAGGATCCACCTGGCAATAAGGAGACACAGGAGACGCATGTTCCATCCCTGGATCAGGAGCATCCCCTGGCAGAGGAAATGGCAACCCACTCCAGTATTCTTGCCTGGAAAACCCCATGGACAGAGGAGCTGGTGGGTTATCTTCCACGGAGTCACAAAGAGTAGGACACAACCGAGTGACTAAACACATATATAAGGCACTTACGTGGCTGTCTTAAAATTCTGTGCTCAGTAATTCACAGCATCAACAAACAATGAAATGAAATAACAGCAAGAACAAAAGGAAATTGGAAGAGCCCCAGCGGCCTGGGGGAGCTCTGTGGACCATGTGGTGATGATGCTCTAATTGGGGCCCAAAGAGACCCCAGCAGTGCTCAGTCACTGCTGACCCCTTGTGTGGCCACAAGGCCACAGCAAGGTCTTGTCCCATCACTCTGGGATTCAGGGTGCCTCTGTCGAAGGTGACAAGACTATTTTGAGTCATTTCTTAAGGAATGTCACACTGGCTGATGGCTCTGTGGGTCCTATGGCCCCTGCCCCATCTGTGCCCAGTCCCTGGACACCCACTATGAGGCCTGGTATCCCCAGGACCAGGTGTAGAGAGCAAGCCCCTGGCTTTGGTCTTGGTTCCCAAGGCTGGGATCCCTCCTGCCTGGAGCAGCTCGCCCACATGATGATGCTCCCACAATGACACCATTCTTTGCATCCAGGTCATCAACCCACTGCTCTGGTTTTGTACTGAGAACGTGTGTGCTCCCTTCTCCACGGGACAAAGGACTTCAGGCAAAGTGCAGGGGGCTTGCTCCACCGTGGGCAGCTGGGCTACACTCCACCTCAGCGATCTGCTCCAGGTCTCTGGGGTCTCCTCAGCTTTGGTTAAAATGCTGCAAATTTAACATAGGAAAAGACTGGAAACTGGCCCCGTTTAATGTGCAAATCTGTTTTAGTAGCATCATCTCTTTTTCACCAGAAGCCCTTTAGGGATCTGCAGCCCATTTCATCAAGATGTTGACTGTCTTTATACCAGGGCTGGGGATCCTGGGTCACCTTCACTAAGGACCATGTGGCCCGAGGGGTCCCATCACTAAGGTCCATGTTCTCCTATGTTCATCTTCACTAAGAACCACGTGGCCTGAGTGACTCCATCACTAAAGATCACATCCTCTTGAGGGGCCCCATCACTAAAGACCACATCTGTCTATGAGGCACCATCATTAAGGTCCATGTCCTCCTGGGGGCCCCATCACTAAGGACGATGTGGCCTTTGGAGCACCATCACTAAGGACCACATCCACCAGAGGGGTACCATCATGAAGGACCATGTCCTCTTGAGGGGTCCAATCACTAAGGTCCACATCCTCCTGAGGGGCCCCATCACTAAGGACATGTCCTCCTGAGGGGCCCCATTGCTAAGACCACATCTGTTTGTGTGGGGTCCTTGGCCCCTCCAGAACCCTGCTCAACCAGCCTTCCCGGGAGCTGAGCTGTGCATAATAAGGACTCTGTCCTTCTCAGTATTTTTTTAGGCTGAAAGGAAACTTCCCTGCATTCCCTGCCTTTGGCTTCGGTTAGCTATTTGAAATGGCAAAAGTTATTAAAATTCCAATGTGGGAATTCGCTTAATAAACAGGAAGGGAGTTTTGAGGACCCACCACTGAGCATGCAAATTAACCCTGCAGATGCAAGTCCTGGGGTGTTGGCAGTTTCTACGCTGGCCTTGGAGGAGGGTCTCTATTCAGGGGGCTTTCCTTATACTGTTCCTGGGCTGCTACGAGCTTTTGTTACACGTAATGTGTACTTTTTTTTAATAGAAAACTTAAAATAGACAGCAACATATGAAATGATCTCATTTATACAAGAACTGTGTAACTACAGATTCACCTCTCAATGACAACATTTATTCATTCGCCCAATATTTATTGGATGTCAGTTTTACGGGGAAATAAAGAAAACAAACAACTTGAAGAGGTCAAAGAGAAATAAAGCAGAAGGAAGAAACCTTGAGGAGGAAAATAGGCCTGGAGGAACTCAGTGGGCAGTATGCTCCTGGCCCCAAGGGGGAAGCAGGAGAGACTTCCTGGAGGAGGCAGCATCTGAGCTTGGCCTTGAGAAGTGGGGAGGGCAGTGGATTAAAGATGGCCACATATTCTTTGACATCCTCCCACTGAGAAATGGCACCTTTGACCCTCCCCTGAATTTCCCCAGTCGGTGGGCTCTGTGACTGCTCCCATCAAGAGAACACAGTGGCATTGACATGGGTCAGTTTCCAGGCCAAGCCCTTAAGGTGTCAGCTGCTCCATCTTCTTGTCTTTTGGAACAGCTGATCTTAGAATGCTCTCTCTGGGAGCCCTGAGCCTCCCTGCTGGACCTACTCTAAGGTCCCCATGCTGGACAGGCCACATGTAGGCATGTCAGTGGAGCAGAGGCTGAAGGTGGCAGGTGGGTTTTAGTGGGGATGGGGACCCAGAAAGCACCCTGAGTATTGCTTGCATCAGCATCCCCCAGAAAAACAAAGACCCCTGAGCTCCACTCAGGACAAAGAGGATCAGAATCCCAAGGAATGTAGCCCAGGAACCTGCCTTAACAAGCACCTTGGGACTTTTAGACCCAGTCTGAGAAACAGTGGAATGAGGAATAGACCACCCTGAGTAGAGGGAAGAAGGGGACGGTGGATTTAAGTAAATAGGAAGAAGACGACTTTTCGAAGTGCTTCATTTTATAAGCAAATGTAGTTGAACAAGTAAACAAACAGAAAGGAAGGTGGATGTTGGAACAGGCACAGTATCTCCAGCTGTGCACTTGAGCTTGGCAGACCCCAGAAAGGTAGTGGTGGGGAGGGGGTCCTGCTGCTGACACAGGGCTATCTCCCTGTGAATGAACATGGGGGATTTCATCACACATCACACCTGAGTCTCTTACTGAAGCAGCAGTTATGGCTCCTGGGGCCATCAAAGTCTTTCCCTCCCCTCCCCTCCTCTACAAGGGAATCCTTCTGTGTTTGTGCAGAAGAAAGAGAAAGAGAGAGCCCAGTCAGTAGGACTCAAGCAATCAAAGACCTGGCACCGATGGAAACAGACAAAAGACAGAGAGACAGGAGGATGCAGGGCTCTGAGTGCTGTTATTCATGTTAATAAACGGTACTAACAACATGTAAGGTAGACGTGAACATGGGAGCCAAAGACACGTCATTCTGGAAGACTGTTTATAGGAATGTCCACTGAGCATCTTGAGAAAGAGATATTGATAAGGATTGAACTGAATTAAATCAGATTCAATGGACAGTAATGAATCTGATCCTCTTAATCCTTTTAATCATTAGGGTCTTCCTACCAGTAACCAAGTGCTTATTTTGAGGTTGTTGTTTTTTTTCCTCTTTAAGCAAGTGAAAATAAAATACCAATGAAGTGTTTTTAAAAGAGGATTACCTAAGTGACTGCCCTGGCATTCCAGTGGTTAAGACTTCACCTTTCAATGCAGGGGGTGCAGGTTCGATCCCTGGTTAGGGAGCTAAGATTCCACAAGCATCAAGGCCAAAAAACCCAAAACATTAAAACAGGAGCAATACTGTAACAAATTCAGTAAAGACTTTAAATAATCTTCCCCCCTCAAAACAAGAGGATTGCCTCAAATTAAACTATTAAGCTGCATGTGGGGGTGAGAAGCTGGGAGGAACATTGGGTCCTGCAGAGCTGGGAAGGTAGCAACATCTCTACTGTGAAATTATATATTTGATCTACACACTTTTCTGTATTATGTTGTTGTTTAGTCCTTGTTTAGACTCTTTTCGATCCCACGGATTGTAGCCCACCAGGCTCCTCTGTTCATGGAATTCTCCAGACAAGAATACTGGAACCAGTTGCCATTTCCTTATCCAGGGGATCTTCCCAACCTAGAGATCGAATCCGCATCTCTTCTGCATTGGCAGTCGGATTCTTTACCTGGTGAGCCATTGGTACAAGTACAGGGTGTGAAGGTGTTAAAAGGAGAGGAGGCCGCAGTGTAGAGGGGCCTAGAGGGGTTAGTTCCCAGAAGCCGCGCGCCCGCGGGGGTCCTCGTGTGTGCACAGGTCCGGGACGCCGCGGGGGTGGGGGGTGGAGACCGGTTCCAGTTTCCCTGGCCTCACGCGGGTACCGGGCGCCCCTTCAGTGTGCGTCCCTGGGGCACACGATGGAGACGTGTGAACACTTGCGGGGCTCACCCTCTCCTGATTACTGAAAGGTAATCAGAGACTCTGTTGGAGTCTCTGAAGCGAGATGTTTTCCTGGAATGCAGCTCTGAGCCCAGAGCGTGGAGACTTAAACTGCACGAAGCACAGAGCTGCCAAAGGCATCTTTAGAGCTGCGAGGGAAAGCCAGGACATTCCGAAGGCTTGCGCGGGAGGGAGGGAGCGGGCTGGGGGGTGCAGGGCGCGCGGTGCGCAGGGGAGGGGACTGTGGTCTGGAGGGCCGGTAGCGGCGAGATCACGAGGCCTGCACGGGGACCCTCAGAGCACCCTGCCCTTCCCCCACTGGATGACGCGGCCCCTCCCGCGGGGCAGCCGGACCTCTCTTGCCCTTCGCCCGCGGTCTTTGGCGGCCCAGGCGCCGGCAGTCCCGCGGCCTTGGAGGAGCCGTGGCCGGAGAGAGGGGCGCGGAGACTTGGCACGGACGCTTGGCCCGCGGCCCGTCTGCACTGCGCCCGCCTCCCGGGTCCCGCCCCGGCCCGGACTCGGGGACCGCCCGCGCGTCCAGGACCCTCGAGCGCAGTTCTCCAGCGCGCAGTCCGCTGGCGCCGCGTCCTCCAGAACAAGCGCCTTCCTTATCCTTCCCGCGCAGTGGCCAAGGCGCGCGCATCTTTCTCCAGCGCATCCGCTGCAACCATGGCCACCTCCGCGCGGCCCGCCTTCCTGGTCATGACCGCACTGGCGCTGCTGCTTCTGCTGTGCGTGGGCCCAGGTAAGGGGGCGAGTCCACGGCGCTAACGCCGAGAGGAGGGCGCGCAGACCAAGGCGCACATCCCGAGCCTTGGCAAGGGCCAAGAGTTGAAAGCGGTCTTGGGTTCTGCCCTTGCAGAACCTGGGAAGTGGCAGAGTTCAGGGTCAAGGGCAGGGTCTCAGGTATCTGCAGCAACCTTGGGAAAAGATGAGGAGGAGCCTTGAACAGAACGCGAGGGGCAGGGTGCAGTGGGCGCTGTAGGCAGGTGGCACCCAGAACTCAGAGGAGTCAAAGGGCCTTCATCCCCAGGGTACCTTCAAGGGCTTCCCTTCCCGGCGCCTCGGTTCAGTTAAGTTCCAGGCCTGAAAATCTGCGCGAGCAGGAGCAGGGCCTCACCTCGCTGGGGAAAAGCCCTGAAAGGAGAAATTCTTCAACTTCTCTACTTCTTGGGGGCCCTCTTGAATGGGTTGGAAATCCCAGTTCGTTCCCTAAAAAATGCGCGCATTCACACACAGGCTGCAGATGAAGTGGGTGCGGACTTCTGAACCCTGGGAGCCCACAGAGCCCACCTTAGGGAGATTTCACCTTGAGTGCTATCTTCCCTTTTGCCAGCTTTTATGGCTCAGGAGTGGCCTCTGGCAGGCAGGGGTGCCTTTGCGGGTGTGAGAGGTGGGTTGGTGACCCCAGGTCTACTGGGAAGATGCAGGGTCTGGAAGGTGGGAAGGTGACCTGCTCAAGAACCTGAGACTGAAGTTTCTCGCACCACAAAGCAGCCAAGCAAGGTGGGTGGAAAGGCAGGACCCCCTGGTTGCTGAACATCTGTGTTTTGGGTGGTCAGCACAAGTGGCGAACAGCAAACATGGGGCAGGGGAGCCCTGGGAGCCCTGGGGGACATTAGCACAACAGAGGGACTGGGGTGACTGCTCTTCTAATTTAGGACCACAGGGGAAGCCAGTCAATCACTCCCCATCACCTGATTTATCACCTCCCACTTGTTCCTCCCATTTTAAGAACCACATCTGAATACAGCAAGTGGACATCAGCTAGAAACCCATTCTTTTCAGGACTTGTATTTTATTTCATTTGTACCAAGACTGCAGTGATAGGAGTTGGTTAAAATATTATGATCATTGAGCTGGAATGTAAAAGTTCTTATGACACCAAATGGAAATCTTCATGTAAAGCCCCCAAGGTGATTTTATGACACCCCAAAGAGTTTAACGGAGAAAGGGACCATAACCCTTTCTTGACCAGTTTATCAAGAACTTCAAAGGGGGCATCTTGAAATTCCAAACCCTGGGAGATCGAATGCCAGGGAGCTTGACTTGATCAACTCAGGAGTGTGTTTGAGCACAGCCTGGAAATGGTGACCAGTGGTGTTGGGGTAGAAATTCATGATGCTACAAGACAAACCCCACCGCGGCTCATTTGTTCTTTATTCCTTTCTTCAAATAAAGTTAGTGTGGTATCCACGTTCACGCATTGATATTTACAGTTCAGTGGGTAGTAATTGGCACCATGGCATTGCTGATATTTATCATTTTGGGACTTGTTCACCCTTTTCAGTTGTGTAGCTGAATCTGATGGGGCTCACCTTTCTGAGGTAGTAGTGATACACATTTGCTGGGAGAAATTGCAGCTTCAGTGCAAATGCCACTCAGATGGTAAAGAATCTGCCTGCAATACGGAAGAGCTGGGTTCATTCGCTGGGTTGGGAAGATCCCCTGGAGGAGAGTATGGCAACCCATTCCAGCATTCTTGCCTGAGAATTCCACCGACAGAGGAGCCTGGCAAGCTCCAGTACAAAGGGTTGCAGAGTCGGGGACGACTGAGGGACTAACACTTTTCACTTTTCCAATGTCTGTTTCAATTCATCAGTATTAAAGTGCTCTTACAGAAGACAGACAGAGGGGTGGTGCTTAATTCGGCACGCTACTCTTGAGTCGTTGGAGACTCATGTGTATTACGATACTAAAATGTGCTCAGATTCGTGCCCTGTCCATGTTGGCAAATGTAGAGTCCTTCGCTGGCTCTTGAGGTTGGGAGGGAAGCACAGACTGAAGGTGGTCCCACCCCATCTAACTGATCCTCCTGTGCAGTAGCCTCCCCAGTGCTGACTCACAACTGATGCTCAGATACCTCTAGCAACTCTGGATGGGAAGCTTCTCTGGTGATTTGCTCCAGCATTGGGTGCCTGTCCGGTGCTGACAGCCTGCTGCCCACCCTATTCTTTGGCCCAGTGGCACCTTAGAGCCATCCATCGCTCTGCTCCCAGAAGTTCCCTCTAGTTAAACATCTATGTGTGTGTGTGTGTGTGTGTGTGTGTGTGTGTGTGTGTGTTAGTTGCTCAGTCATGTCCACCTTTCTGGGACCCCATGAACTGTAGCCCACCAGGCTCCTCTGTCCATGGGATTCTCCAGGCAAGAATACTGGAGTGGGTTGCCATGCCCTCCTCCAGGGGATCTTCCCAACCCAGGGCCCAGGGATCGAACCCAGGTCTCTTGCATTGGCAGACAGATTCTTTACCATCTGAGCCACCAGGGAAGCCCCAGTTAAACATCTAAATTCCTTTAATTTGTTATCATATCACATACATGGGCCATTTGTTCCTCCTGGACTTTTTCCTCTTTCAAAAACTTTTTCCTTTTGCCAGAACTCCTGTTTTTCTGTGACCGTCTGAAGGTCCCATGTTAGCTGCTGCTGCTGCTAAGTCACTTCAGTCGTGTCCGACTCTGTGCGACCCCATAGACGGCAGCCCACCAGGCTCCCCCGTCCCTGGGATTCTCCAGGCAAGAACACTGGAGTTGGTTGCCATTTCCTTCTCCAATGCATGAAGGTGAAAAGTGAAAGTAAAGTCACTCAGTCGTGTCCAACACTTAGCGACCTCATGCACTGCAGCCTACCAGGCTCCTCCATCCATGGGATTTTCCAGGCAAGAGTACTGGAGTGGGGTGCCATTGCCTTCTCTGCACATGTTAGCACCTGAACCAAAGAGTAAAGAGGTGGGCTGATCAGAGACAAGCCGAAACAGAGGCAGGACAAGTATTTCCTTTCTTCAAGACGCTCTCCTTTTATTTATGCAGCCTAAAATTGTACCTGCTTTTTAAACAACCACATCTCTGTAGACTAACTGGAAGTGTAGACGATAATTCTGAATTCAGACCACTGCCCACTTAGCCCACTGCCCAGAGACACCAGACCTCCTCTGAAGACATGAAGGTGGCCCCACTGTGTTCTTGTCTTGCAGTGGGATCCCTAGAGTTCCCCCCAAACCTGGCTCCCTATTCTAAAGGTAGGTGGGAGACACCCAAATTCAAACACCTGTGGGGGGCTTGAGAGGTAAAGTGCTGTTCATAGACCCCCGGGTCTGCCAAGTGACCTGGGTCTGGAAACATTCAAATACTAAATTTGTAAACACGGGCACCTAAGAAAACACACTTGCAGGTCACATTCAGCAGTGAGCCGCCAATTTGTGACCTTTGGCTACAAATGTGTTTTTTTTCCTCCCCAGCTACATAATAAATTCTTTAAGCAGAGTTTCTTAATCTTCTTTGGGCCCCACACACTTCTGAAAGTCTGGCCGGAGCTCTGGCTCCTATTCCCAGAAGACGACACCTCTGCAGTTGCAAATTGGTCCACAGTTGGGAAGGACAGGACCTGCCGAAGGATGGATACCACCATCTCAGTATCTCCATCCTTGGGCCAGACTCTGGCTCATACACCTAAGGATGCTCTGATCAGTCTTTACAAGGCTGGTCTCTCTCCTAGGGCCTCTGGTTCCCCCTCCACAGGACAAGCCTCATTCCTGTAAGTAGCACTCAGAGACCAGAGGCTTCCACAGTCTCCAAACCAGCTCACGGGCCAGAGGGGGCGTTCCGTGAGATCAAACTCATCATTTACTATTAAATGATTGGGCAGGTTATAAACACTTCTAGATCTGAATACAAACAGCAGTAAATGGTACAAATGATGCCTGATTGTAAGACAGTCAGGACAAATAACAATACAGGGCTAAACTTTGAGAGCACTGAGGCACGTACTTGTGGTGGAGAAACCCCACTTCTGCCTTCATCTTCTCATGACTGCCATCTGTGTGTTGTCATTTCTTCTTGTAAGGACATCAGTCATTGGATTTAGAGCCCAGCCTAAACCCAGCATCATGTTACCTCCAGATCCTTAACTCATTACATCTGCACAGACCTTATTTTCAAATAAGTTCCCACGCTGAGGTTCTGGGCAGTATGAATTTGGGGGGACACTATTCAGTAGACTGTACCATGAAAAGTAAAGTCTGCAGGCAGATACATATGACAGATAGCTGCCTGAATATTATTTAATTTTTAAAAAAATTTTATACTAGAATATGGGCTTCCCAGGTGGCTCAGTGATAAAGTTTCAGCCTGCCAATGCAGGATTTGATCCAGGGTTCAATCCCTGGGTGGGGAAGATCTCCTGGAGGAAGAAATGGCAAAAAAAAAAAAAAAAAAGAAACGGCAACTCCTCACTCCAGTATTCTTATCTAGAGAATCGCATGGACAGAGGAGCCAGGTAGGCTACAGTCCATGGGGTCACAAAGAGTCAGACATGACTGAACAACTGAGCACGCATGTACACATAGCCAGTTAACAATGTTGTGATAGTTTCAGGTGAAGAACAGAGTGACTCAGCCAGGCATGCAATACACATGTATCTATTCTCCCTCTAACTCCTGCCTGAATACTATGATAGAAGGGCTCAAAGGACAACGTTACTTTTCCTAGGGAATAGTTCAGATGGTCTCCAGTAGCTCAAAGTGTCCTGTTCAGCCATAGTTCTTGTCACCAGTTTGAGCAAGGGGCAGCCTGAATGGGTTTTTCTACACAATAGGAAATGCAGCAAGCATTGGATACCAAGTTGCCAAAGCAGGATAGGGGCATGAAGTGAGTTTTTTCCAATGTGGATTTTTGCATGTGAGAAATTTAAGGGTCCAGTACAACCCTGAAACGATTTCTGTCTTCATTCCTTTAGGAGGCATAAGTGGAAACAAACTCAAGTTGCTGCTTCGGAAACGAGAAGGTAAATACAGCCGACATGGAAAAGAGAGCATTCTTCACTGGGTTGCAGGGAAACAGTGATGTTGATGTGTTCACTGGAGGCTTGTGTTTGGAAAATGAAAAGTGTTTCCTCCTTAAAAGGTTAGCAGATAGAAGGGGTGGTTCTGTGGGGATGCAGTGCGGTATTTCATCAGATAAATATTATTGCCAGTCAATGCTTCTCTGAAAGCTGTCAGTGTAGGTCCAGAAATAAAAGGAACAGAGCAGCAGTGTTCAGTGAAGGCTGTTTTAGAACCCTGATGCCCTTTAGAGCACATGCCTGAGTCTGGAGCACACACAGCCTTAGTCCTGGGGCAGCACAGAGCGGGCTGTGGGCGCCCTCCATACCCAAGTGGCCCTTGGGAGGGGGTTAACCAGAAAGACCGTTCGTTGCGTTGCTGACACCTGTTGTGAAGAACATGCCTCAGGTAGTGGTGGTGGCACATGAACAGTCTGGGAGCCATGCAGGTGAGTCCTGGGCCCCTGTAATGGGTTCCATCATCCTGTGGTCCTGAGAATACCATTCTCCCTCGGAACATGCGTCTTCAGCTGGAAAACAGGAAGTTATCTGTCCCTTAGAATGAAGACTACATTTCTGAGGTGAACTTTTAACCACTTATTCTTTTCCCTGAGTTAATGGGGCTCCAGGAAGTTGAATTTGAAGTCTGTTCTCTGCTGTGGGGCCCCGGTGCTTATAGCTACTTCCCAGGGGGTCTGCAGTGACCCCCTCCACCTGACACGCACCTGCTGAGCACATGCGGCCCCTCTCGGTATGGAGAGGGGCTCCCAGCATCTCCCCAGCTCTCCCAGCCTCTCCGGAGGCCCTGGTCCACCCCTGACCTCCCAGGCCCTCAGCCGGCTCCCTCCCTGGGCTGGGCAGGCATCCCCCAGTGGTACCAAGGCCGATGGGGGTTCTGGCAGGACCACCTGTGGAAGGGATACCAGAGAGAAAGTGACCAAGAAAATCAGGACTCCTCTGTGTACACCCTCAGAGTTTATCCAGCTCAAGCCAAGAAACAAATATTGAGCACCTACTGTGTGCGAAACAGTGTGACAGGCCCAGAGGGACATGCCCAGATGAGCAGGCGGTGAGACTACAAACGTGCTGGTATTTACCCACATGAGCAGGGACGCAAGGGCACTTGACTTCCTTTTCCTGCGTGGCCTCCATGCCAACCTCGAGGCAAAGACCATCCATCCAGTGTCACAGATGAGGGGACAGGGGCTCCGAGCCGGTCAGCAGGGCCAGCCCAGGACCCAGAGCTTCCCTGAGTGTATCTGCAGGAGTGGGGCCTTTTGAGCACTGAGCCCAAGACAGAAGGCATTCGGGGAAGCCGTGGGAAAGCAAGGGTCACCCTATTAAGAGGCAGTCCAATCGTCAGTGGTCACACAGTGGGACCCCAGGTGGCAGCGCTTGTCCCCGCAGCCCCTGCTGGACTCACCTGGCTGGCCTGCCCACGACCCCCTTGTTCCAGCTCTCTCTCCCCTGGACTCCGAAGCAGGCCCAGAGGGCTCCTGTTTACTCGACAGTGAACACCTACCGGGCAGCACTGGATACACTTGGTTTCCTGACAGCAGGGCCCTCAGGGAAGCACCAGCCCTGTCCAGGGCCGGACCTGGGCTGGGTGTGGCCAGGGGCGGCAGAGGAGGAGCTGAATTCGGTTCCTGCCCCAACCCCAGGCCTGTGATAGGGCAGCGGCCAGAGGGCAGGGCTGGCCACCCCAGAGCCCAGGGTGGGACCCTGTAGCCCTGTCCTGCAGGAAGGATGTGCCAGATAGAGCATCTCCTGCCAGGTGGGGTGGGAGGGGATGTGGAAGAGTGATTCACCCCAGTGAGGAAAGAAATCATTTTTGTACTTGGTGGGGGGTGGGGGGACCCCTCGTTTCAGCCCCTGCTCCCACTACGACCCCGGTGGCTGTCCAGGAGAGCAGAGCCAAGGAGTTCCTGAGCGGCCTTAGGAGGCCCAAGCGGCAGCTGTGGGACCGCTCGAGGCCGGAGGTGCAGCAGTGGTATCAGCACTTCCTATACCTCGGCTTCGACGAGGCGGTGGGTGTCCGGGGTCCCTCGGCGGGAGGGGCGGGGCCTGGGAGAGCGGGGGCGGTGCAGAGGCCTGGGTGAGTGGGGGCGGTGCAGAGGCCTGGATCCCCTGGGGGTGGTGCAGAGGTCTGGATCCCTGAGGGAGGGTGGGACAGAGGGCTGGCTTCCCACTGGGCAGAGTGGAGGTGAGGGGCAGTAGCCTGTATCTTCCTGAGGGAATGGGGGTTGGAGGGCAGAGGCCTGGATTCCCTTGGGGGTTGGGGGTGGCGCGGAGGGAAAGGAGGCTGGCTTCCTCCAGGGCAGGGTTGGGGGGCAGAGGCCTGGCTCTCCCTGGGGGGATGAGGGTTGAGGGGGGTGGGGGAGAGGCTTGGATTCCCACCGGATGGTGGGAGTGCATGCAGGGAAACGGCAGAGAATGAAGTTCTGTTATTTGCTCTGCAGTCAAAGCCAGAGCTGCTAGGCACTGGACCAGGTGACTGTCAGGTGTAAGGGTGTTGGCTGGAATTTTCCACCCTGCTGTGCCCAGTGGGTTCCTTCCCATCAGGGTTTGATAGCAGAATTCCGGAGACTTCACTTAGATTCAGAGAAAGTCTAATTTTCCTAGGAACCCTCTGACCATATCTGAGTGTGAGTAAGTGTGAGGATCCAGTAAGTTTCTAACATAGGCACAGATGGGACTAGAAGGACATGCATCCAGACACCAGTAGGAATTGGCAGTGGAAATAGCCCCTTTCTCTTTGTCTCCCTCCCACCATGCCTTTTTTTTCACCATGCTTTTTTTAAAATGTAAGTTTGCATTATTTCTGTATTTATAAAATATTTTTTAAGTTTTTGAAAAAAAATATTTTAAAGCAAAACCTCAAACAAGATTATAAAATGAGGAAAACCAAAGAGTGAGGCTACTACACTGTGACAAACTGCAGTATTGTGAGTCAAGCAAGCCATCTTCTTTTGAAAGCAGAGACTGGTGGGGCGGCTGAGGTTGGTGGAGGTCAGAGCCCCAGGCTAAGCAGATGAAGAGGGTGGAATTGTGCCCCCGTAGTCAGTGTTTGTGGCCTGAGTCAGCGCACCAGGCCTGTTTGAGAGTCACTACAGGTGTGAGAGAGTCACCAGCAGACATGCAGACCAGGCTGCAGTGTGATTCTGTTCACCACCGTTCACTAAACCCACAGCCTGTGCAGCAGCCCAGGCAGGACTGGGGGTCAGCGTCTGCCACACTAGACACCCAGTGCTGGGGGCAGGCCCATTTGTTACTGCATTGGGCAGATGTCTGCTTTCTTTACCAAAAAAGAGAAGAATGCTGAAGTCTGGGATGTATTCAGAACTCAGAGGTAGGGATTCAAAGGAAGGGGTGCATATGCCTTTGGGGACTAGGCTTTCAGCAATGCTTGCCTGCTGGTTAAAACTGACCTCTGGCCCAGGGATGCTGTAACTAGGAGTAACTATTTTTTTAAGTACTATTTATTATTTTTTATTGAAGTACAGTTGAGAAGTACTCTTTTATTGAAGTACACTTGAAAGTCCCTTGAACTTCAACGGGATCAAACCAGTCAATCCTAAAGGAAATCAACCTAGAATATTCCCTGGAAGGACTGATGCTGAAGCTGAAGCTCCAATACTTTGGCCACCTGATGACTCACTGGAAAAGACCCTGATACTGGGAAAGATTGAGGGCAGGAGGAGAAGGGGGAAACAGAGGATGAGATGGTTAGACAACATTACTGACTCAATGGACATGAATTTGAGCAAGCTCCAGGAGATAGTGAAGGTCAGGAAAAGCCTGGCGTGCTACAGTTCACAGGGTCACAAGGAGTCGGACATGACTTAGTGACTGAACAACAACAGTTGATTTATAATGTTGTGTTAGTTTCAGATACACACGCACATATATATATATGTGTGTGTTCTTTTTTGGGTTCTATTCCCTTGTAGTTACTACAGGATATTGAATATAGTTCCTCCTTTTGCTGTACAATAGGACCTTATTGCAGGAGTTATTCTATTAGGGGTCATTCATTGTTGAATGTCAGTGAATGAACCAGAGAAACACCACCAGTAAGATGTGCTTTGGGAAATGGTGTCCTTAATCCCATCCTTTTTCACCCTCTTCTCCAGAAATTTGAGGATGACATCAGCTATTGGCTGAACAGAAATCGGAATGGGCACGACTACTACGATTACTACCAGCGCCACTACGATGAGGACGCGGCCATTGGCCCCCGGAGTGCCCACAGCTTCCGGCACGGAGCCAGCGTGAACTACGATGACTACTGACCACCCCTTCGGGCAGGTTCAGGCCGTGGGCTCTGCACAGCACTCGGGCTGTGTCTGCCCTGTCTGGTCTTGGCCCATCTTCCGTACTCGCTTTCTCTGGCCAGAAAGGAAGCATTAACACAGAGAATATAAAGGCCTTTCGAGAGTCCATGCAAGTTCCTAACACTGCATTCCATTTAAAACTAGAAATAAAAGCATTTGGTTTAAAAGTCTGAGTGAAAGTTTGAATGAAAGTTAAGCTGGCGAGAGTTTTCCTTCCCTGGATGCTTCTCAACCTCTCAGAGGCACCAAGTGTGACCCCTCCAAGAGTCCCTACCATCCCAAGCCATGGGACGGAGCAGGGGGTCTTTAGTGTGTTAGAATTCAGTCCACACTAAATGTAAACAAGCAAAACCCAGCAAGAAAATTTACTGGAAATTATTTAAGATGACAGAACACAGTTTGGAGGATCTAATCATTGATGTGGTTTTGCAAGTTTGATTGCTCTTCCATAGCCTGAGCCAGAGCTGGACCTGTTTAATATCATTAGGGAGGAAAAATGGGTAATAGAAAAACCACTAAAGTTCAGTTGATTTCAGAGCTTCACTTACCTTAAGAAATTAAACCTTGCCTAATGAATCCAAGATTTAAGAATATACTTTGCATCATGTTTAAACAACCTGAGTGAATGGAAAAGTGGGGGTGGGTTAAGGGAGGGGAGGGAGATGGGGAGGTGACACCTGCCGAGGGGAGGGGCCCTCAGCATGGCTATTGTACTCACAGACCCTCTGACAGCCTGCTGGAAGCTTTCTCACAAAACTGCTATGTGATTTGCACATAAACTCTGAGACACCCCATTATTCACAGGCTGCAGATAATGAATCCCTGGACTTGGTGGCGGATACCGCTTCAGGAAAGCAGTGTTTCTGGACAATCCTTTGGAATCCCTACAACTTTTAAAAGTTGGTGGTAAAACACACACAGCATTTTTCGGCGCACAGTTCAGGGACATTAAGTTCATTCATGTTGTTGCGCAACTGTCACCAGTCTCCACCTCCAGAACCATCTCATCTTCCCCAAACAGAAATTCTGTCCATGAAACCATAAATCCCCAGCCCTGCCCCACCTTCTTTCTGCCTGCATGGATTTGACTCCTCTAGGGACCTCCTGTAAGTGGAATCATACAGTATTCGTCTTTTGTTACTGACTCAATATTTCACTGAGCATTACGTCCTCAAGCTTCATCCCCCCTGTAGCATGCCGTGTTTCTTCCCTTTGTAAGGCTGAGGAATATTCTATTTTGTGTGCAGACCACTCTTTGTTTATCTACCAACAGACACTGGGTTCTTTCCACCTCCCAACTGGTGTGACTAATGGTGTGAACACAGTCTGCAAATACCTCTTTCTGTTCCCACTTTCAGTTCTTTGGGGCACATACCCAGAAGTAGAATTATTGGATCATAAGGTAATTTGTTTTGTTTTTTGAGCAGCCACCATTTGTTTTCCGTGTCAGCTGTACTATTTTATATTTTACTATGACATAGAGTTGTAATTTGCTGTTCAGTCACTCAGTCATGTCCGACTCTTTTTGACTCCATGGACTGCAGCATGCTAGGCTTCCCTGTCCATCACCAACTCCCAGAGCTTGCTCAAACTCATGTCCACTGAGTTGGTGATGCTGTCCAACCATCTCATCCTCTGTCGTACCCTTCTCCTCTTGCCTTCAATCTTTCCCAGCATTAGGATCTTTTCTAATGAATCGGCTCTTCATATCAGGTGGCCTAACTATTGGAGCTTCAGCATCAGTCCTTCCAATGAATATTCAGGACTGATTTCCTTTAGCATTGACTAGTTTGATCTCCTTGCAGTCCAAGGGATGCTCAAAAGTCTTCTCCAATACCACAGTTCAAAAGCATCAATTCTTCGGTACTCAGCTTTCTTTATAGTCCAACTCTCACATCCATATACGACTGCTGGAAACTCCACTGTCTCCTGCATCTGCTGGCTTTCTGGATAAGGTCACTATTCTTTGCCCCAGCAAGTCGTCTCTTGACTTATTGGCCTGTCCTGTGGGTATGAGATTGGACTCCATAATAGAGTTACATTCAGACTTCTGCTTCTGTTTCTTAACCACTATGGTGCTGCTCAAACCCCAGTGCAGTGTCGGGGAGGGGGCTGGACAGTGATGGAGAGCGTGCCTTAGTTTCATTCCTAATCTTAAATGTTGCTGTGCTTCTACATAAATTATGTTTGCTGGGTGTTTTTAGATGCGTTTTCTCAGGAAAGTTACTATTCCTTTAAAAATATGCTAAGAAGATTTTAAAATGTCATATGGATGCTGAATCCTAGATTAACTGTTGATAAGTCATCCTTTTAAATCTGTTAATTAACAATTAAATTAATAAAATTCTAATATTAAGCAATTGAACTGTGACCCCATGGACTGTAGCTGGCCAGGCTTCTCTGTCCATGGAATTCTCCAGGCAAGAATACTGAAATGGGTTACTATTCCCTTCTCCAGGGGATCTTCTCGACCCAGGGATCAAACTCAAGTCTCCTGCATTGCAGCCAGATTCTTTTCTGTCAGAGTCATCAGTGAAGTGGAATAAAACTAACTTGATCATGATTTTTTTCATTGTTGGATCTGGTTGGATAATATTAGTTCAGAATTTTTGCATCCACGTCCTTTGGGAAGATTGGCCTGTAGTTTTGTTTCTGGTTCTGTTGTGGTCAGTTTGGGTGTCCAGCTTATACTGAATTCCTAAAACGAAGTATTTTCTGATATTTCTCCATATAAGGATGGAATTCTCTCTCCTGAATGGGAGCATTCTGATAAAGTCATTTGGATAGAGTGTTTTCTTCGTGGTATTAATAAAATTTTTGAATATTTGAATGCATTTATTTTACAGGTAAAGGATTATTTTAACTTTATATCTCTCCTTGAATTTGTTCTGCAAAATTCTCTCTCTCAGTAGTGATTGATTATATGAAAGTTTTGAAGTGTGTTGAGAACTGCTCTTAATATCCTTTAATCTTTATTTCTCTGTAGCATCTTTGGTTTTTTTTCATTCCATTTGTGCCTTTAAAAAATGTTTTCAAACATTTGTGCCTTTTTTTTTTAATGAATCTTTTCAAGCATTCAGTTTTTGCCTTGTTGATGTGCTCTTTTGTATGCTTCTCTATGTCACAAATTTATGTTCACTTAATTTCCTTTCTTCTGCATCTGTGGGTCTTTGATTTATCTCAATTTTGAGGCTTATTTTTTTCCAGAGGCAAATACTTACTATTCTAAGTTTCCTCTTCAAGAACTGTATTCCATGAGTTTGATGTGAAAAACTAGATGATGAAATCACCTAATTTCAATTATAATTTCTCCTTTGACCCATGAGTTGATTACAAGTGTTATTAAATTTCCAAGTGAATGAATTTTTCTAATTATCTTATTGGCTTTGTTTTCTTACTTAATTGCATTTTGTGTGTGTGTGTGTGTTTAATGTAGTCAGATCCTAATTCTTTGAAGTATACGAAGGCCAGCTTTACATCTGAGCATGTGCCAGCCCAGCAAGGGTTCCCGTGTGCCTGAAAGGAATGTGTGTTTCCCAGACATCAAATGCAGTCAAGTCCATTAGCTCAAGCCTGATTGTGACATTGTTCACATACTCTATTTTCTTACTAATTTTTTTGGTCCATTTGATCTACTGATTCTGATAGGTGTGTTGAAATCCAATCCAATTTGACTAGTTTTTTGTTTAATTTCTGTCAATCTGGCTTCATAGAAAGCTATGGTCTTCCCAGGTGGTTCTAGTGGTAAAGAACCCGCCTGCCAATGCAGAGGACGCAAGAGACGCAGGTTCAATTCCTGGGTCTGGAAGATCCCTTGGAGTGGGGTATGGCAACCCCCTCCAGTATTCTTGCCTGGAGAATCCCATGGACAGAGGAGCATGGTGGGCTACAGTCCATAGGGCCACAAAGAGTTGGACACGAACAAGGTGACTTAACAGGTATACACACATTCACACGGGACACGATAAATTTTTCCAGTGAATGGAGTCACTTATTTTTATGCATCACATTGCCTTAGTTCTAATAATGCTTTTTGCCTGAATTCTCTTTTGCTATTAATATTTACCTTCTGTTGACAACTGATTGCCTGTTCTCTTTTTTCCATAGTTTGACTTTTTATCTTCCTGTGTGCTTAGGTGTGTTTTTTTGTAAAGGGTACATCACTGAAATTGTTTTTTGCTTTTTTAAAATAGGGTATAACTTTTAAGGTCTGAACAGGAGAGTTTAGTCCATTGACATGTATTATGATTAGTGATTTTTATCTCTAGGATCACACTTTGAACTTGTCCCATTTTACCTGTTCCTCTCCTCCCTTTTCCTCCTATCTTGCCTCCTGTCTTGCCTCTTTTGTTTTCCTTTACATCTTTCTTTTCCCTTCACTTCCTTTGAAGGTTATATTGGATCTGTTCTATTAGTGTTTGCCCATTTAATCCGTATTTAACAAGTTATAGGCAGTCAATAGCCATAGTCATCTCTTGGACAATACAAGGACCCCCAAATACTTCATTTTGCAATCTCCGCTCCCAATTTATAAGCTACAATAACCCAGCATTTAAAATCTAGTCTACTGGCCACTTCCTGGTGGCCCAGTAGTCAAGAATCTGCCTTCCAAAGCAGGGGATATGGATTCGATCCCTGGTCCAGGAAGATCCCCCATGTCATGGGGCAACTAAGCCTATGCACGCAGATAATGAGTTCACGTGCCGCAACTACTGAAGCCTGTGTGCCCCCGAGCCTATGCTCCACAACAAGAAAAGCCACTGCAATGAGAAGCCTGAGTACTGCAATGAAGAGTAGTACCCGCTTGCCTCAGCTAGAGAAAAGCCCGTGTGCAGCAACAAAGACCTAGCAGAGCCTAAATAAACAAATAAAAATCTTGCCTGCTTTATTTCCCCGTGTTAGTTACCTTTGCCTCATTTACAGTCACTAGTTTGTTTAGATGTCACATATCATATCCAGCCTGGCTTACTATCTCTCCTTGAGACTCAGACCCTGCATCTGAGCTCCTCTTCCTTTGACTTTAATACCATCTTCTAAAATCCCTTTAGTGTGAGTTCTTTGATGGTCAACTCCCCAATTTCACACTTTCTCTTGTGTTGCTTGGTTTAGGGTTTTGGTTGAGTTAATCAGCACTTTGGAGACACTATCCTACAGCTGTGTGGCTTCCACTGCT